AATAAACTTTGGAATGAGTTTGAATTGTTCGAATCAAATCTCGCTGGAATCTGCAAAATACGTTTGTCTTCAGAGAGAGTTTCCCTCAAAATTTGCTAGTTTATCTTAAAATGTAGTTTCAAGTTGAAGCTTTCGTGGATACTCACACTAACACCAGCCGCACGACATGGCACAGTACTTCTTGGTCCACTCATGGTGGTATTCACAGTAGCCTTCATACCCTGCTAATTGTGGACACTGGCTGGCAAAGGCATCACTGTCTTTGCAATCTAGATAAGAACAAACCATTGATCACTGTTCCGAACTAACAGGGTGAAAAGAATTATGCTTTAGGTGTAAAATGAATGCGACGATCAGTTCGAAGCTTTAATTTCCCCCTCCCCCTCACCGGGCAACCCCCATGGCATTTGAACTTTTGAAGATTGGCTTGTTCAAATTCCCGCCCCATGGAGGCCAAAATTGTGGTCAAATGCCACACCCCTGTGCTAGCTTTTATCGTCAATTATTTTAGTAACAGGCATTATTAGTGACCATGACTTTCTTGTAGACCATTTCCCCTAAGATATCTTCCCATAAAAGTGAGCTTTTTACCTTTAAAAAGGTCCATTTTAAAAGATAAAACACAATATTAAAACTGATTGGCTTGTGGGGTCGAATGCTATAGAAAGAAAATATTTCGTGCTCTCTTAACTCAAAAAATTGATTTTGTACATATTCGAAGGGTGATCATTGGGCAATATAACCCTAAAAAACCTGTAATCGCTCTTGCATTTCAACGGTTTCAAGGTGAGTGACTGATTAAATAAAGTTTGTTTGAAGTTGTCTATAAAAATGGCATTGCTGGTACGGCGAAGATTTCTTTCTGAAATTTCCGCGAAATGGAAAAAATGAACTGAGGGACTATCTTCATATGATAAAGTGCAAGCAACTCATGTTGGATTTTTGATGACGCCCCTTCCCCTTCGCCCTCAGCCTTGCGGCTCCAAGCACCCTCTCTAATAAAAATCCATCTCCATAGATTCTCTTTAGGGAAAGAGAAAAGTTCCTCAAGAACCTAGTAGAGAGGTTATCCACGTATGATGTGCGATCCTCGCAGTAGATAGCGCTATTCATGCAATAGCGAAAGGTTATCGTTTGTCATCACAAGATATGAGAATTTCAGACAAGCTGTTTAACTCCATCTCTCTTCAAGAAGTACATGGACCCCCATTACACTTTCCTGTAATTAAAGACTAGTACATGTTGTTTGAACTTGAAACCAGATTCTCTGGACAAAGCCGTCCAAACCAAATTTTTTCATCATCAGTGGAGAGATCTAGCTGCTAAATGTTAATGTTAAAAAGGTCAGTCGACATACCTGGCTTCGGTGGCACGACCCCACCTATCTTATTCGAGACCCAGGAGTGCAGATAACGAACTTTAGCATAGACACCATACTTTCCTGGCGCAGCGCACCCATATCCCCAGCTCGTCACCCCCTCCAGATACCATTTTCCATTGAACTCGCAAACTAGAGGACCACCGCTATCACCCTGGCAAGCATCTATGCCGCCCTGGTCCAGACCTGCGCATAACATGGAATCATGAATCTTTCCTGGGTATCCCCTCAGACAGCGCTGCTTTGACACCAGTGGTACATCGATCTGCTGTAGAGCTGACGGGACAGCACCACCAGAGGCCAATCTTCCCCACCCTGTGATCCAACAATTCTTCCTCTGGTTGAGGTCGTCTAGTGGAAGAGGTAGATTGTTATCTGGCAAGCAGACAAGACCAACTCCTTTGCCTAACTTTGCGGGCTTTGCCAGTCTGAGAAGGGCAATGTCATGGCTGTATGTCACAGGGGAGTGGTACTTTTCATGGGTGATGATCTCCGCAACGTCAATGTCCTGCTCAGTTCCAGCAGTTTCACCTACGCGGCTGTGGGCACCCAACCTATTTTTATGATAAAAAATGTTAGAGGAGGACTACCTTTTAGCCACTTACGGCTTTAAACTGTAAAAGAACACCTGGTGACTCAAATAAAGGGAGAAGAGCTTAAATAAACGAAGTTAAAGAAATACGAATTGAATGACTAGTGACTATGTTCGGGTAAATAAACCTCAACGACTTGAAAGAAAAACTCGATCGTGGCGCATAGACTATGATGAGATTATCAGTGAATACAGCATAATACCCGTTTGCTTGATTGACTCTACACTTCCCTAGAAGTGGCCATCAACAAAAAGGAACTACTGTAGAAAAAGGAAGTATATTATGATACACTATTGATGAAAAATAATTAGATGATACTGAAGAAGCAGATAAATTACCTGACTTTAATACTGGAAGGGCGTGCCTCTGTTACACAATGCGTTGCAGTTACAACCCAATTCGGATCAATGAGAGATCCTCCACAAAAAGGGAAACCAGATGAATACCTCACCATAACTTGCCATGGCCAACTGTTTACAGCAGCTTCATGACCACCCACAATTCTGGTGTTTGGACGAGAACCGCAATTTCCTGTTCAAACATGATAAACAAAATTAGATAGCTGCATGTAATAACGAGTGACTATTGCGTAACAATCACAAAAAAGGCATCTGTCCTTTGAGTTAGCCAGACACAATCACAAACTTGTTGCATTAAGATTAGGTAGGCATTCAACCAAAGCAGTAAACAAAAAGATAAAAAAGGAGTTAATAAAAACTGTGATTCCAAATTTCTAAGTAAATGATAAGTTGAAACAATTTCAGGCAAGGTCTTTAGTCAGTGACTGATCATGAAATTCAGTTTGATGTGATTGTAATGGTTTGAAAACGTACACGAATTATAATATAAACACAGAGAGGCGAAAAGTAGCTTTTTAGCAAAATTGAGAAAACGAATCAGTTAGACTGCAGCTGTGTAAACTTGAAATACAGGCGCTCAAGCATTTTGGAAATTACCTCAAGTATATTTATAGGGTTAGTTATAATGCTAAAAGGATCATGCTCGCTTTCCATGATCTCTGTTGCAATACCTATTCAAGGGATGGGGTTTGCAAATTAATAAATTAAGACTTTCTTGAAACGCCCACTCAACCTTTAACTGAAAGGCAGTAATTTCTTCAACGGCACTGCCCCTTGAATGAACCACTGATTTAAGTGCAATGTAAACAAAATCATTGGATTTCTGGTCTGTAAAGTTTGTTAGGCTATGACAGTGACTGTACAGTTGAGCAGCCGGATTTCATGGTAGATGTGCTGACAATTAATGAATTAAAACCAAAAGTATGTAACCTAGTGTGGGTTATATGCTTAAACGGATCGATTGACAAATATTTGGTTTTAATACAGTCGCAAAAACTTTAAAGTTCGCAATTGAATATCTCGTTGTTTATCTTAAGACGAATTAAAAGGCACTTTTGAGAAATTGAAATCCGGTAAAGTTAAACGTTGCTTTCCTCCCCACGGCTCGTAAGCTTAATGCACAGACCTGTGAGTCTACTAATTTTTATAACATAACCAAAGTAAAGCGCGCGCTCTGATTGGTCAATTTAGCGTCCCTTATTTGCCCATGGGTGTACGCTGCTGACGTAAGCAAATCCAAAGACTAGTTTTCCGCGCGCGCTTGTTTTTTCTAGTCACGTAAGATTTGTTAAATAAAAGGAAACTCTTTAGCTACAATGTATCAATGTTATGTTATAAAACAAATGGTAAACACCACAGCTTACAAAATTGAGTTATGGATGCACTTGGGAGGTTTGCTAAGCACTCAAAAAGCTAGAGTCGCTCTCGGCTATCGCCTCGAGCGACTCTTACGCTTCTTTCGTGCTTATCAACCTCCCGCATGCATCCATTACTCAGTAGTGTACGCTGTGGTGTTTACCATCTGTTAATTCACCGAGAAGCAAGCGTTTCCGCAGACAAAACCTGATTTGTCGTGAAGGCGTACACGTGAAATTATATCAGTAGAAAGTTTCGGTTTCTTTTACCTTTTGTAATTACGCCGGATAAAAAAAGGAAATTCGGAAGAAACAAAGATTTAAAAAACTCAAAAGAGGCAACAATAAACTAGAAGATGATATGCAGGTGTGCTAAGACTAGAGAATATTTTAAGAATCAGATCTGTTGCAAATGAAAAGCAAGAAATTTAAAGCTCCAACTGAAATTTTCAACGGCAACATGTTTAAATCGTCACAACTATTTAAACAATAAATTTTTAAAAACAAGAGATTGCAGGAAAGGGACCAACCTTACCTTCAGCGAGCGCAAAAGCGCTTACAATACACGAACAAATCAACAACAATACGTTCATGTTTAGGCAGGCAAAGTACATCTAACAAGATGATGAAGATTTCTCACTTTATATTCCTTGACGATCAATGAAGGTGATAAAACCTGTTTATACAACGTACAAAGAATCCTACTGTCTTTTTTATTTTGCAATCGGAAAAAAAATATAGAAAAGAAAGAGCGAATAAACTGACTTTACTGTGTTGCTTGGGTTCTTTGTGATCTGTTTGATGACTTTTGTAAGGCTCTGAGCACAGCTGCTGGTATAGACATGTTGCCAGTTGCAGCTAGACTAAGAGAAACAAAGATGTTTTCCGGCTTGTCTGAAACAGTTTGGTAGCTTTTAGTGTCTTGGACAAACTTGTGTGCGGACTTCTATGTCTGAATTTCTCTACTTATTTATTGAACCTGGTTGGTGTCAGATATTTGATCTCATCTGCTCAATGCATTTGTAAAGAGAGAGTGATGACCTCATGGTTTATGATTTCATCGTAGTTTCCTGGGTAGTTTCATCTTTTCAGTTAAAAAAAGTTAAGAAGAAAATTTGCTCATAAGAATAGCCCAAGGGATGTTTTTTATAACCTTTAAACTCCAAGGGTGACCAGCATCCATTTTCTCCTTGGAATAAATACCGCTGAATCATTCAGTAAGATCATGGGAATGACTGAAGGAAAATGGTCACCAACCTAGGATAAGCGTTGATTGCTGAAAGAATTATCCTTGTCACTACTAAGATAGATTCAGACGCTTGAGAGCTGAGTACGAATAAATCGATCCCACTTACCTTTGGATCATCAAACCTTGAGTGTATCTTCCTCGCTTATGGCATCTTCGTTCAGATGTGCCGGGTTCGACTGTACTTTTAGTTCAATGTGTTTAAGTTTCAATGTCTTGTAACTCCAGGATGAGGTCAGTATTAGTTTCTACATAACTAGATTTAGAAACAACATTACGAAGGATATTATTTGAACGTTCTTTATGAGCCAGAACACTTTTTAAAGAGGGTACGCAAAGTGCATGGTTATGATAAAACAAAATTGCCTTTTATGTCAAGAACTTGCATCGGTGGCCAAAACTTAAGTTCGTTGCGGATGTTTGATTGGTTAGAAACAGATATCACATTTATAGTAAAGTATAGAGCTGATGCTGATGTAAAACGTTGAATAACAACTTTTGAGGACTTGGTGATCACGATCAGTGTATTATGTAAATAAGAAATCTATCCACGTAGAATAATCAAAATGGAATTTTTTCCCCCAAAGCTATTTAGAATGCGATGCGAAATCGGAAACTCTGCATTTTGCTCACTCGTTAATACATGAATTCGTTTCTCTTTTAATCAAATACCATGTTTCCAGAGCACCTTACGCCGTGATGTTAGCCCTCTCAAACCGCCTGTCCGTGTAACGTATAGTGAACGAAACTTCCATAACGTATCACAGCCTGAATTAAAACGAAACCTGTGGTATAAAAAAGGTCTTCACTGCTGCTTCGTTGCTGTTAGCTGGTCCATAAATATGATTTAGTAAACAGAATTGCTGCTATGAAAGCAATTGGAGAATGCAAAGCCGGCCTTTCCCTGTATATTTCCTTGAAGGACACTGCTGCCAGTTGATTCCTAAATTTGATCTATTTCATTTATCATTTGTGAAAGCTCTGTCATTTTTGCTGAGTATGTCTCTTAGAGGAAACATTGGCTAATCCTTGGCGAGTAAAACCGGCTTAAATGTAATTTGCTGAACAATGGATAGAAACACATGTGAGGGCAATGAAACGTTACACTAGGATTAGTGGTGAATATATAAAATAACACGGATCAAATTTGTTAAGGCCAATAAAGGAAAATTCGTGGAATTTATCCGGCTTCGTGATTCGAGAAATATCTTTATCTTAAGTGACGAATGTTGAAGCCATTTATTGTTTTTCTAGGAGAACATTTATTCAGTTGATGTCCTCTTCTTTGTAAGTATAATTCTTGTTTATCTGTTGCTCTATCAGCCAGATTTGTACGATCTTATCTCATCGAGGTTTTCATTCAAAGGAAATGAATTTAATTGCGTGAACGGCTCAAGATCATTCCATTTCCAGGAACTCTATCAGTTATCATTTGATGTCAAATGTGCTTTCTCATCTTTTCACAGAGAGATGAAATTTCGTCCTAGAAAGTGATATGAATGGTTCCGTTTTCGGCTCCAGGAAAGCGCTATGGCTGTAAGATAGGCAAGTGACTAAATGTATACTGCATAGACGAATGACAATTATCGATGCCTTTACCGTACCTTTGACATGCTATGATTTTACGAAATTTAGCTCCGTAAGAGCGGTCCGGTGGATTTGGCTTGAGACAACTTTCGCTGAAAATTTGTTTGCAAGACATTCATGTACATTTAGCTAAACACATTCCGCTTGATCCCGAGTGTTACGAAAGTAAAGAGTTTTACTCGAGCTAACGCTTGTCAGGATAATTTTCAAGACCTTGATTTGGTGTAACTTTGAACTGAAGGACAATTCAGAAAAAAAAAAAAAACGAAAAAAACAGATGATAACTCAGTTCAAAACAGATACCACTCTCTTGTATACAATGCCGTGTACTGCCGTCTATTTGGTCTATCGAGCTGAATTTTGTAAATGCTGAGTTTCAAACAAGTTCATGGAAAGACTTGAATGAACCCCTATCGATGAGCCAAAGTCAGACACGCGAAAACTGACCTAATTCAAATCGAAGCTTTGTCTAAGTAACGGGCTCTGATCTCGTCAAAAGAACGTAGTTAGGAAGAAGAAACCATAAAGAGTCTCACCAAGGCAAAAAGAGTTAGAGGCTCGTCCTTTATTAAAATTTTACAATTCCATAAACTTGCCATAAATTCGACAATTTTCAAGTTTGGCCATCATTTTGAGAGACTTGTCAACATGAAACACTGTACATTCAAATCGTAAAAGTGGATCTAAAACCATGAGAAACAAATAAAAAATTAGCGAAATCTGTTTGTCAAGAAAAATTGAACGGACCACTCTTCCTGAGACTCAGTCTTAATGTTCACACTTGCTTTTGATTCAGAATACCTGAGCGATCCCTCCTTTTCGGCAAAGACCATCGCGCGAGTGTAAAAAAAAAGAAGTTAAAAAAAAATTGATGTTAGCGTGCCGTGAGGACCACTTTTCGTGCGCCTCGCTCCCAGAGTTCTGCGCGGCGCGCTAACATCACTCTTTCTCTTTCTCTTTTCTTGTCATTATGTTGGTTCGT